ATAATTTTAGTATCCAAAACCCATGCAATAAAGATAAGTAATGAAAGCATGGCATACTGGTGGATTGGTGGATTTGTTGCCTTTCTACCTATATACCCTAACTTAATCTTCCAACTTGTAGATTATATCTTTTGTTTTGGGGTAATCAAAGGAGATACCAATAAACTAGAAATAAATACCAAAAAAAAAAAATAGAAACAGAAATATAACAAAGCATCCAGACACAACAAGCAAGAAGAAACTACAAGGACTAAAAGAAACCTAAACAAAAGGGAGCCTATCCGCTGCCAACACATCCTCCAACCACGAAGGGCAGGCCTCTATCCTTTCATGGGACAGAGACCAACCTTTAGAAGCCAATATGTGGGCTGCTGCATCACCGGATCTGGGCACAAAAGAAAAAGAAAACATCAACTGCTCGACAAGATCTAAAATGTCCTGAATCAAAAAGAAAATGGGCATAAAGCAGTCTTTGCCTCTGTTCTTCAGTGAAGATAAGACTTCCTGACAGTCTGATTCAAAAACTACAGAACTGGCACCCGATTTTAATGCCAACTTAATTCCTTCTTTCAGCGCTAAAGCCTCTGCTTCTAGAGATGACCCAGCATTTGAAATACCCGATTTTGCAGTAACAGAAAGAGCTTGATGATCCCTCACCACAATCTCAAAAGACGCACAAAAAGGATTCTTAAAACCCGCATCAATGTTTACCTTTAGAGAGTCTCTAAAAGGAGGTTCCCAAACACTCATAGCTTGGCTACTTGTAGATTGTATCAATGTTTTAAACTTGCCGGAATAGTATGAAGCTGATTGACTCCTGAGCCTCTTTAAATACATACCACTTTGTTACAAAATTTGTTGGCATAATCTACAACCTGATGATCCAAATGGTTGAATCACTGACCTGCTTGACCTGGTTACTGAGTTATGAGTTAGAATAAACAATAACTCTCATTAATTATACATATTTTTTTTTAATATGATAAAAATTTAATACCAGAGACATGCCCCATTTTGTACAAGTATTATGATTTTTCATATTATTTTTCATTTTTATTATTTAATTTATGATATCACAAGTTGACTTATAGAGGGAAAGGCTATTTCAAGTAGTTTTGAAAACATTGGTCTTGGATCAGTGTTTTTCATCTTGGTCAATGGTCAATTTGGTTGATTCGTCACTTACACAGGAATTTTGGGTCCATTAATTTCACCACTAAGATGCTTGCCTATAAAAAAACTGTTAACTCGAACAACAATGTGGTGACCTAACTAGTTGAACCATTGAACTGTTTAACGCAATTGGTAAGGTTACGGGTTAGGTATTTATTTATTTTTAATATCCACTTTGTTCTATTAGCAAATTTAGTTATATGTGTAAAGTAATTGTAAAACCAGTGATAGGGAAGTGAGAAGTTTTCTAAGGACCAAATTACCCCTATATTAAAAAAGAACGAAAGTTAAATGAAAAATTACTTATTCCTGTGCTTTGACCTTTGCATAAGCCCTCCTTCACCTTTCAAATAAAACATGCACACCCTTCTGTTAAATTTCTCAACGGAAATTGCTAATATAATGTTTTGGGAAATTGTCTAAAACTCATCATGAATTTTCAATATTTTTCTTAAACTCGCCACAACTTTTCAAAATGTCTAAAACTCACCATGTCAGTAAGTTTTTATTTTCCAAAACTCACCTTCCATTAGTGCACCGCTAATGCTTCTTAACAGAGGTTGTCAGCCTAAATAACAATTTTCATGACCAAATTACCCTTGAATGGTGAGTTAGAGGAAAAATGGTCTTTTTCAGTTTTCAATTTTCTTGTTTTTTTTTGCATTTTTGGTGTTTTGTTATAATTTCCGATGTCTTTTATAATTTCTGTTTTTTTTTTTTACATTTTCTATTTTCTACAATCTATAAATTTTCCTGTATTTTTTGTTATTTATTTGCAATTTCTGTGTTTTTTTATAATTTTTTGTGTTTTTTTTATAATTTTTATTTTCTGAATTTGTTTTTCAATTTCTATAGTTTCTATAATTTGAAAATAAATTTTTATTTTGTTTGCAATTTCTATAAATTTCTATATTTTTTTTGTAATTTCTATGTTTTTATGTATTTTATATTTGAAAATATTTTTTTTTTTAAATTTTCCTTTTTCATGTCTAAATATTAAAATGGTAATATATTAACACCCGTTAATTCATTTTGTATATATTTTATATTTTTCTATAAAGGTTAAATTGGTAATATATTAACACCTGTTAGTCTGTTTAACAACAAGTTAGTGACATGGTGAGTTTTAGACATTTTGAAAGGTTGTGGTGAGTTTAAGAGAAATGCTAAAAACCCATGGTGAGTTTTAGACAAATTCCCTAATTCTTTCAACTTATATCTCTATTTTACTTGTGGAAACCATATATTAAAGTTCCTCCCAACAAGGAGATCAAGAAACTCAACATGGTTGTCAGTCACCTTGAATAATTGTAGATATTTAATAAGGAAATAGTCATAAAGTGGCACTTTGAAATATAATTTTCTGTCTTAATGGCTTATAAGGGCATAGTCATAATTTCAGCATCTCAATTACAGGAAATTTAATGGAAGGGGTGTGTTTAGGAATGTCAAATTTCTCCATTTCATCAATCTTTCAGGGATCCACTCCAAATGGAGCAAGTATGAGGATGGTTTTCTCTCGTAGGGACTGGGATGGGGAAATTTTCATCCTTGTTGGTAAGGAGATGGGGATGGAAAACCATCCCCTAGATATTTGTGTTTTTGATAAATGTGTTTAAGGTCAACTTATTGAGAAAGTGGAGAAAGATAGCTACCTCTGCCCAATGTAAGAGGATTCCTAGGCCCTTTTGATCCCCCTTCTCTCTGGATTCATAAAACTGAATTTTGAGGCAGTAGCTAAGGAATCTAGAGCCTTTTGGGATTGGGGGAGTGTTTAGGAATGTGGATGGGGTTTTTGCTGCAATGTCCTCAGGTCCAATTGGAGAGGGTGACTCTCTTAGGGCTGAGATTTTAGCAGTTCTGGAAGGAATACAAAGAGAAAGAGAATTACATTAGATGCTTGGACCTTGAAAGGGACTCAGAGGTGGTGATTGGGTGGCTGAACGGAGACAACAGTGGTTTGTGGAGTTACAACAATGAAAAGAAAAAAATTAAATGGCTGAGTAGGGATTGAGGTGAAGTACAATTGGGTGAAGAGAAGTGCTAACTGATCAATGGCTGATGGGTTAGCCAAGCAAGGGGCGTTTAAGGAATCTCTGTTTTGGGCTAATTTTTAGCTTCTTTCTTTGTTCTTTTGTTGTTGGGGAGTTAAGATAGTTTACCTTTCCCTTTTGTTATGAAAGTTTCACAAAACTTATTCATTAATAAAGTTTTTTGCTATTGATCAAAAAAAAAAAAAAGAAAAAAAAAAAGAGTTTAAGGTCTTGAGGTCTAAAACTTGGAGATTTATGTTGAGTATTTGTGTTTTTCTTATGAATTAGTTGTTGAATTTGTGTTAATATCTTTAAAAATATAATTGAATATATTTGGATTTGTAAATTGTAATCATTTTATTTAAAAAAGTTGGAATGGAGTAGAAGTTATTAAAAATAGAGTGAACTTGGCATCATATAAAAATGGGGAATTGGGATCCCTGCAAACATGGGAAATGCCTTATCCCTATTTTTGATTTCTACTTAATTCCAACTCTTTAAATAAAATGGCACCATAAAAAAAGTTGGTGGAGAATTGGGATCCCTACAAGGATGAGAAATGCCCTATCCCTATTGGTGGGGATAGGAACAGGGATTTCCATCTCTTTCCCCATTGACTTACATCTCCAACCGGTCGAGATCAGCTTCAGTCAGTGCAAGGCCTGTTCGAATGCCGCTCTAACAGCTTGTACAGTCTTACACTTGAAATATCTAAATACCTATGTACTTCATGGGAAGATATTCTCAATGCAACGTGATAAAGGTTGTATGAACGGGCTTTGCACTGACTGAAGCTGAGTTCCGCCATCCCCTTGCCTAGGTGTTTGCATATTTTATTTAAAAGGTAAATGGGTTTTTTTTCAATGATAAAAATAGAGGGAATATTTAATTAATTTATGATTTGTTGATGACCCAATAGTTGAGATGGTGACTTGGCATCCTCCAAGGCTCCAAGGGGAATGGGATCTGCTCCTCACACATGGGCGCCTCACAGGTACATCCACTGTGCATTGAGAACATCTCCCGTGAATAATAATTTATAAATACAGGAGATGTTCCCAATGCATGATAGGATGTGCATGTGAGATCGGTGTGAGGAGAAGATTGGGTCTCCCTCCAAGGATGGAGGCGTGGTTTTGGTTGTTGGGGCCCAACTGGATAGATCGTTGAGACAGTTTATGGGCTGGACACGTTCTGGGCAGTTCACCTATTCACGCCCGTGCTTTAATTTTTAGTAAAAATAAATTAATATATAATTACTAATTTACCTATTCTCATGGTAACTAGACCTGTTCATGGGCCGGGCTTGGGCCGGGCTTTTACTCTTTATTAACAGAAATATGTTAGGCCCGAGCCCAAGCCCGAAGCCTGACCTAATAAAAAAAATTAAAAATTTTCCCTATTCAATAATCAATATAAATCAGAATTTATTTACATTAAAAAAATATATAAATTCAAAATTTATTTATATTAAAAAAGAATATAAAAAAGGGAAAGAGTATGTGGAGAAGAAGAATTTGGTTGGAAAAAGAAGAGAAAGAGGTGAAAAAAAGAGGGGTATTCAACTAGGGTTTTTAGGTTTAGTTATAGGTCGGGCCGGGCCGGGCTCGGGCCGGGCTATTTTAACAAATCCCGAGCCCGGTTTGAATTTATTGCAGGCCGGGCTTTTTGGCCCGAGGTTAAGCCCGCGGGCCAATATACCTGTTCAAGCCCGTCCGGGGGCCGGCCCGTCGGGCCACCTGGCCCATGAACAGGTCTAATGGTAACTAGCATTCCCATAAATTCTCTCAACAGCATAGGGATACTTCCGATAGATCTCGCTATGGTCGGCTCGTGAGAAACCATCGAAAATCCGACTGGAAATGAGGTGGAGATCGTCGCGCCGCCGTTGTTCGGGTGTTGCAAGGTCAGGGAAGATAAACAGTGGCTGAACGATGGATGGAGGGGAGAATGGAAAGGAGGAAAAAGGAAAAAAAAAGAGATTCACGTGAAGAAAGATCTCACGTGCGGATACGTTATCCTGCTGAAGAGATATTCGCACGAGAAGAAAGAATTCACGTACGATACCTTATCCTGCGGGAAGAGAAGGCCACGTCGTCTTGACGAAGGCCCTTCCCGCCTTAGTATATATAATAGATGCCTTTATCCGTTATCGTAGCGATTAGCGAACATCCATTGAGATTGAGAGAGGCAGGGTGAGACTGTGAGACAGTGAGAGTAAACTTGACTGGAGAAGAAGGCTTTACTAATGTGCTGAGCCACCGACTGCCACTGCCCCAAAGATCTCAAAGTTCAAACTTGAAACTGACGAACAACAGGTAAGTCTCGTTTTCCTCTTTCTTCTTCCTAATTCCATGCCCTGTTTTGATTTTTAAAGAATGATTATATTTGCTTATTTCAGTCTTAAATTTTAATGGCTTTTTCTTCTTCGAAGTTCAGTTTTAAACTCTTAATAGCTCATTAGCTTGTTCCTGTGGTAACCAGTAGTACCGCATGGCTAAACAAATAAGTGTGAAAATAACAACCGTGGAGAGGATAACGCTCGTGAGCCGGTCAAATCCAAAATTTTGCGGGACCAAGATGCTCAATAAACCTCGAAGAAGAGCAATCAAGCATCCATGGAGAAAATAGCTTCTGTCACTAGTGAGGAATGTAATCGGTTTTTCGATAGCTTAGATTGCTTACCTGGTTGCAGGAAAGCCAAAAGAATTTTGGTTTTTTATGGCAATGTGGTAGTGCAATATAGGGCCAGGGGCACTTCTTGTACCCGCGGTAGGAGAAGAGGGGGAAGGGGCAAAAAGGTGGTGCTCTAAGGGTGTTAAGCTTGGGTGTTGGGCCCTTATACTAGCTTGTAGGTTTCGGTTTTGGGTACTTTTTTCTCGGTTGTTTGAGAGTGCCGGTTTTGTTGGCTGGGGTTAGAGGGTCTGGGCTGGATCCCCTGTTCAAGCTCCCTCCTCAGGTTTGGCTGGTTGAGCAATCCTTTTGTAATTATGTTGTAAATATTTAATATATAACTAGTGGAGGGGGCCTACGTTGCAGGGGTTCGCTCATAAACTATCAGGCTCGAGCTCGATTCGAATTAGAGACTTGAGCTCGAGCTTGACTCAGCTCCAGTCAAAAGCTCGGAAGTTCGAGCTTGGCTACCTTTGATTGCAGGTCTCTCAAGTAGCCAAGGTGTTGAGCCAAGGTCTCCCTCAGTTGCCATGGTGCCAAACCAAGGTCCCCTTCAGCTACTGAAGTGTCGAGCTGAGGTTTCCCTAGCAGGCGAGGCGTCGAGCTGAGGTCTCCCTTAGTTGATAAGGTGCCTAGCTGAGGTCTCCCTCAGTTGTCGAGGTGCTGAGCCGAGATCTCCCTCAGTGACCGAGGTGCCGTGCCGAGGTGACACCCTATGTACACACTTGATTTGACTCATGAGACCATTGATTGTGGGTCTCCCTAGCAGCCAAGGTGCCGAGCCAAGGTCTCCCTCAGCTACTGAAGTGTCAATTTGAGGTTTCCCTAGCAGGCGATGTGTCGAGTTGAGGTCTCCCTTAGTTGACAAGGTGCCGAACTGAGGTCTCCTTCAGTTGTCGAGGTGCTGAGCCGAGGTCTCCTTCAATGGTCGAGGTGTCGTCTAGCTCAAGTTCGATTCAAATTAGAGACTTGAGCTTGAGCTCATAAGTTTGAGCTCGGCTCGGCTTGAGCTCGACTACCTTTGATTGCAAGTTCCCTAGCAGCTGAGATGCCGAGCTAAGGTCTCCCTTAGTTGGAGAGAGAGTGGCATTCTTGTAATTTACAAGGAGAGAGATAGAGATGGCATTCTTGTAATTTGTAAGAAAAAGAGAGAGAGAGAGTGGCATTCTTGTAATTTGAAAGAAAAAAAGCAAGAGAGAGAGAGAGAGAGTTGGTAGGAGAGAGTGGCGTTCTTGTAATTTGAAAGAAAAAAAGCAAAAGAGAGAGAGTTGGTAGAGAGTGGCATTCTTGTAATTTGAAAGGAAAAAAAAAACAAAATTTACTGTTAAATTCCATTTCTTGGCTTCTTAGGCCTTCTTTCGTACACATTCCAACTTAATGTATTTATATTGATTTTACTTTGTTTTTTCCTCATAAAAAGTGTGAAAATAACAACTAGGCTCTAAGGTCTACACCTTTCCAACTTTCCAAGTGTTGCAGAGCTACAGGTTCTAAGTTGGAACTACTATGCTCTGGTCGGTATTACATTACTAAACAAATAAATGTAAGGATAACAACTGGGTTCTACAGTCTGCACCTTTCCAACTTTCTAAGTGTTACAGAACTACAAGTTCTAAGTTGGAATTTGTAATTTGGAACTGCTAATCTCCGTTAATAAGTTATGCAGCTTTAAGTCATCGATACTCTCACAAAAAAGAAAAAAACCAACTTCTTTTTAAAGATCCTAAAGCCTAAACATATTTTATCTTTTTGATTGGGCTCAACATTCCTCCAACCTAATACCAGCTTTGAAATCTCCTTCCACTTCTAACTGTTGCATTCCCCATTGCTTTGCCAGTCTGAGACCTTGGAGTAAAGCAATTACTTCTGCCTTTAAGTAGTCTCCCATCCCTATTGGTCCTGAGCCAAGGTCCAGAACTCTTTCCTCATTTCTGAAAACACCTACAATTCCTGAGGGGCCTGGGTTACCTAGAGAAGTAGAGAGCTTCCATCAAAGTTCAATTTCACTTTAAAGCTAGGTGGTGGGGACCAACTTTTCTGAATTGTAGGAGAAGAGGAAGAGGAACCAGCTATAGCACTCCATCCTCTAATGAAGTCCAGCTATAGCATTGGATGGAGAACTTTATTGTCTCAAATGTGGAGGAACCTCATAGTTCAAAGAGTAGGAGGATTGTGCTAACTTTCATGAAGCTATTCAGTCAGCTTTTTTTTCTTCATCAACAAAAGGAAATTTTATTAAAGAAAATTTTAAGAATACATCAAGGTGGAAAAAATTCCAACCTAAGCAAACAAAAGATTACAATTTTGCCCAAAACAATTGATTCCTAAAAGCCCCTTGTTTAGCTAGAGTATCTGCCATCCCATTAGCAGTTCTCCTCACCCATTTAAAGTTGACAGTTAGCTCCCTTGTTATACTTTCAATCTCCCAAAAGGTGTGTTTATTAGATCCAAGGGGTTTGGGTATTAATTCTTGTCCATGAAATTCCCACCTAAGAGTCCCCTTCCACCTCCAACTGTTGGAACCCAAACTGCTTTGCAAGCTTTACACGTTGGAGTAAGGCCAACAATTCTTCCATCACTGAATGACCATGTTATTTAGTTGGCTTTTGGCAAAGGAATCGGTATGTGGAGCTGGTGGTCATGGATCTATGTTGGCAGTTGCTAAGGTTATAGCTGTTAGATAGTGTATGCCCTTAGCTTCAATCAGAATGTGTACATTGTGACATTTAATGTAAATGAATAAAGTACATATTTGATTTATGTTATTATGGTGTGTTTCTGTGTAATATCCTTAAATTGGACACATGTGAGACTCGTGTTGGCTTAGAATCTTCACAGCCATTGGATAGATCTGGGAAGATTTATCTTGACAAGGCTGACACTGATGTGCCGCCAAGTTGGTTGGGGTGGCTTGTCTCAGTTTCCAGGGTGAGACCTGAGGTACATGTACTGTGGGTTTTCTTGAAACCCTGAACAGGACCAGAATTCCAGTATTGCCCTGGACCTTGGAGATAGATGGGCAAAACTGGAATGTTACACCTGACCCCTAGTCTCGATTATGATATTACACTAGGTGTCGGATTGAGCTATTTTTGATATGCCAATCAGTGAGATCCTTAGAGGGGGTCAAAACCTGGGTATGTTGGGACAGCCTGAGAATTCATCTGAGTGGGTGATCATAGTGACAGGATCAGCCCCTTTGTCGGACAAAGTGAATGATCGGGGATGCACTCTCTCTGATGGAAA